AAAAAAAAAAAAAAAAAAAAGTTATCATTTATATACTTATTAAAATGTTTAATAGTATAGAAGTATGTCGAGGAAAAAAATGACTAGCCCGTTATCAGTTTGGTGAGCTCCTTCCCGGCATTTTTTTTTTGCTTATACGTTTATATACGTTCTTTGAATATCTACTATGTGCTACATATGTGTGTTTAACTCTTGCTCTACAACTGCTAATAGTCTTCTGGGGTAAATATCACCCAATCATATTTTCTCATCATCATACAGTCTTATCTTGGCAGAAACTTTCTAAGACCTGTAGCCATGATTCCAAATACCATTATTAACTACAACATGCTACTTTATAAAAGCAAAGAAGTTATTCTTCGTGCACATAAAGATGGAAAAATCTCTTCCCTTGAGAATCCTGCATTATTATTGCTTAATCTCGGAGTCTGTTTTCTTTTCTGTAAAATGGGGATATCACGTGTCCATGTCCAGGGTTAGTTTTAGTTAAACAAGAACTTTCCTGTAAAACACTAATGTGCACAATGTTACTCAGACACCTGATAACGTGTCCTAACTACAAGGCCAGTCCTTCTTAGCCTATATCATTTCACCAACAAATATTCAGATTAAAATTCAGAAGCAATTCGTGGCTTTATAGTAAACATCAGAAGCCTCTTCAACCCAGGAAGCTACCCCAAAGACCCAGGGCATCACGGCTAAGACAGAAAGAGAGAGACAGAAGACTGAAAGACAGAAAATGGGAAGGAGAAAAAACGCTGAGTAAAGTAAAAGGTGTGCCTGCTAAAGAGGAGCCAGCCGCCATTAAATAGCTGTCTCCTGGCCACCCGCCCGACCTGCGACCTGCTCTGCACGTCACCACATGGTCTGAAGGCCCAGGCAGCCTGGTGGCCCGCAGAGAGGCCCTCATGACCTCTCAGCCTAGTGTGGTGCCACCTACACCTCTCCTCAGGACAGTCGCTCATCCGTGGCACTACTCATCTGTGGCACTACTCATCCGTGGCACTACTCAGTTGTTTCTCTGCAAAAGGGGACTCTGGTGCGCCAGCCTGGAGGCATTAAGGTCCCCAGCAGGGGAGTGGTGAAGACCCGGGTAATGCTTTAAAATCTACAAGGAGGGTGAGCAGTGTACGGAACAAGATGGACAGAGACCAGCTGACGTGGGCCTGGACTGGGGCAGGGGCGTGAGACTGGAGGCGCTAAGCACGAATGAATGGGACTGGTAGGTAACTGGATGCAGGAAAACAGGAAGGGAGAGTCAGAGGCCTGAGACAACAGCAGTTCCGGTTTATCCAAAATAGGAAACTAGGGACTGGGGGTAGGTTTGAAAAAAGAGATTAAGTTTAGCTCTGGATATATGGAGACCCTATCTCTTCAAGACAACAGGTCAACTCCCCAGTTCCTACTTTGAGAATCACTACTCTCGAGTATCGTTTTATAACAAACTTTTGCCTAAGTAATTCTTTGGTTATGCTACCATTTTGGTGGTATATGATCTTCAGGACTTTGAGAAGCATGGTGGTAAAACAGCCAAATCAAAGTTAAAGTTAATCACATCCCAAGTAAGGCCATCATCTTGGCAAAGTAATCCAAGGACAAGACATTTATTATTACTCTAATTAGCAAAGTAGCAAAAGTTTGACGATAAAGCAGTAAATGAATTCTATGCCAGAACTGTACAATTTAAGGTATAGGTGAAACACTGGGTGACAGGTCACATTGTCACTTAACTGTAAGGCGTACTCTGTAATTTCAGGAGAGGAGCTGAGTGAAATGAGGGTAGGGAAGACCGAGCAACAAGGTCTGTGTTTTGTTGCTCCATGATGATCACAGTATGCCCGTAAGGCCTCATCATTTTTTTTTTTTAATGGTTAAGATGGTAAACATTATGTGCATTTTTTAACACAATTAGAAATAATATTTTAAAAAATTTTTAAATTAATTAATTAATTTATTTATTTATTTTTGGCCGTGTTGGGTCTTCGTTTCTGTGCGAGTGCTTTCTATAGTTGCGGCGAGCGGGGGCCACCCTTTATCGTGGTGCGCAGGCCTCTCACTATCGGGGCCTCTCTTGTTGCGGAGCACAGGCTCCAGACACGCAGGCTCAGTGGCTGTGGCTCATGGGCCTAGTTGCTGCGTGGCATGTGGGATCTTCCCAGACCAGGGCTCGAACCCATGTCCCCTGCATTAGCAGGCGGACTCTCAACCACTGTGCCACCAGGGAAGCCCAGGACTCATCATTTTTGATGTGCATACGAGTTACCGTTCATCTTGAGCAAAAGTGCTACCCATAAACCCTGGGTGTTAGCAACCTTAGTTACACCTGCAAGGTAAGGGCTTACATGCTGAGTGCAACAGAAGCTCAAAAGTCCATATGTGCTACAAAATTGAGCCATTTCAAAGGCAGGGCATTTAACTATCGGGTTATCCAAGTACATGCAGCTATTTCTAGGAACACCTACTTAAATGAAGAAATATTTTAAATCTGGCCTTTCTGGACTTCTGACATAACCTACAGATCGGGGGTGAAGGTGAGGGTTTCAGTTGTACTCAAAAAACAGGGAGAGCTATGCAGACAACCCCAGTGGAATGTGCAGGAAATTGGCCAATAAGATTGAGTCAGGGAGGATTAAGGGTTTTTTCTTTCCTCTTTAATGTGGTTTATACAGTTTTCCCAGTTTTGAAAAAAGAAAAGATTGTGAGTCAGTGGGTAGTGACCACCCTACCGTCAAATCGCGGTCACGAGGATATTTGGCAATGGCTATACAAGCAAAGGTTCCTCTAGAGGTCAGTCTCCCCATGTGGGCTGAGTTAGGAAATAAAAGTTCAAGTTCCCCTCAGGGGCAGTAAGGACAGGAAGACAGTGAACATCTGTGAATCGATGGTTTCCAGCACTAGAGCTCTTGCCAATATTTGAGAAAAAGGAACATTTGATGGTGAGACTCATTTTGCATCACTCCCATATTTAAATGCAAAAGCAGGGACTTCCCTGGTGGCGCAGTGGTTAAGAATCTGCCGGCCAATGCAGGGGACAAGGGTTCGAGCCCTGGTCCAGGAAGATCCCACATGCCGAGGAACTACTGAGCCTGTGCTTTAGAACCCATGAGCCACAACTACTGAAGCCTGTGCGCCTAGAGCCCGTGCTCCGCAACAAGAGAAGCCACCGCAATGAGAAGCTCGCGCACCGCAACAAAGAGTAGCCCCTGCTCACCGCAACTAGAGAAAGCCCACGCGCAGCAATGAAGACCCAACGCAGCCAAAAATAAATATAAATGAATGAATGAATGAATGAATGAATAAATGCAAAAGCAAATTGTTACATCCTTGAGGATTTCTCAGGGATAGAAAGGCCTGAGCTTTATAAATTGTGGTCCCATTTATCTCCATCTAGAAAATGGCCCCAACAGTCAACCAC